TGAATATAGTCTGCTGTGAATAAATGTCTTAAGTAATTGAAGACATAGACAATGTATGTAGGTATTATTTCTTACTAAAAAGCTTAAAAAACTCTCTATACGAGAGATAATAGGATATAAACATTTAATACAATCGGTGCACTAATCTGACTTTCTTGTAAGTTTTTTTACATGTTAGTGTGGTAGTATGTATTTATTTACATTCACTATAGAGGGGGCAGAAGAAAACCGTGGGAGTAATTTTCCAACTCGATTTTTAATTAATCATGGGAGAGAGGTAGCTCTCTGCAAGGTTTATACAAAAAAGAGTTGGAGCGATAGTACCAATGAGGGCCTTCACAGGCCAGTTTCAAAAGGTCCAAGATTTGTTATTGTGCATTCTGGTAGAGAAAATGGTTTCGTTGAAAATGCGTATCTGCAATTTAAATCGAATAGTAAGTCAGTGATTATCATAGTGTGATGACTATAGTAACTATAAAAAATGGCCTCAGGATAAACTGATTCTCAACCTTCCACGATATAGTGTTTTGGTTATGGACAACGCTCCGTACCACAATGTTCAGACCGACAAATGTCCCACTATGTGCTCTAAGAGGATCATATGAAAGAATGACTAAGGCAAAAAACATTCATTTCTCACCGACGACATGTTGAAAATTGATTTGTATAGCCTTATCAAAATGCATAAGCCGGCATATATAACTTATGAAATAGACAGAATAATGGCTAAAAAAGGTCATTCTGTTTTGAGATTGCCACCATATCACCCCGACTTGAGCCCAATTGAGTTGGTATGGGCATCTTTGAAACAATATGTGGCTGAAAGAAATGTAGATTTTATTTTCAAAGCTGTCGACAAACTTTGCTACGACTTTTTTCTCGTCTTATCCTACAGAAGAATAGAAAAAGTGTTGTGAGCATGCCAAAGGTTTTGAGAAGCAGCATATGGAAATGGAACTTAGTTGTGGATCAAAAAATAATAAAACTAGACGAAGATAGCGATAGCGAAACGGAAGATTTATGTTTAAGTATAAGCTCAGATTCCGATTCTGAACTTTCACGATTTGATCCTCTGTGAAACTTCATAAATCTGTACTAATACGGTGTAAGTTTTCTGACCTCACCTTTCATTTGATTGTTTATTAATTGAAATTATTAACAATTAAAGATAGAATGAGTACCAGTCAATGTTAAGCCTTATAGCTACATACTTATTTTATGGAATAAATTGTTTGGTTTCCTTTTGACACATGCCAGCAATTGCGATTAAAAAAGCATACGCATTCCATCACTGAAATTATTAGATCAATTTAGGACGCAGATTGTACCACTCGAGATCGAATGGCACATAGTGTACGTTCCATCTCTTCTGCTCCGAATGCGTTCTCCCTCAGTTTCTTGTTGCATAACTTCAAGATTCGGTAGAACTTTTAAAATTAATGCATAAAGTCTATATAAACATGGGTCGAAAAATGCGTGGCTTCCGAAATACAGGGTGTTTAAATTACTTTCTAAAATAGTTTTTTTTTAATATTTCGAACAATATTTGATGTATAACAGTGAAAATTGGTATACAAGGGTTTTTTGGTACGACAAAACGAACCATGGGCATAGTTTTACTGTAGCCGTAAGGGGGCGCTCTCTACTGTACCTGTAGTGTACTAAAATGACCGAAAAAAATTTCTTAGTAACAATTTTTTGCTTTTGAATAAAAATACTGAATCTTCGCACTTTTTAACATAAAAAGCTCTCCTGTGAGTTTTTCGTTATAGTTAGCCGTTTTTGAGATATTTCGATTTTTAAGGTTCGATGCATTTTAATTATTTGTGGGAAATGATATTTTTTTTACATTTTCGATTTGGGCATTACAAGTAATTAAGATGATCGTTTAGATTGTGTTTTTAAACACAGCAATAAGTCCTAACTCCAAATAACACAAAAAAACAGAATATTAATTTGTTTTAATTTTCCAATATGATTTTTAACAAAGTAAATGAATTATGTTACAAACTAAAATGCTATTGGATAGTTAGGACAAACATACAAAAATCTAAAGTAGTTTGCTCGAAATGTAACCCAATTGTTCAATACACAATTCACATCTACGAATGATCGAACGTGGTATAGCATTATTCAAATATGGCCTTATTTTCATCACATGCATTCCTGATTCTGTCTATTAGCATATCTCTTGTGGTTACGGGAGTCTGGTACACTGTTCTTTATAGAATCCCCACACAAAGAAATCTAATGGATTTAGGTCAGGGATCGTGGAGGCCATGGCGACTGGTCCTCCACAGCCGATCCATCTTTTCTGGATAATTTTCGGTCAGCCCGTTTCTAACATTCTCGAAAAATGAGCGAGGACATCATCAAGCTGGAACCAGGCAATCTTTTTAAATCTAACATAACATTATCCGACATATTTGCATGTTCAGCGTTTAAAAAATTCCAAGAAGGTCGCAGCATTTAACCTTGCAGGCAAAAGGTAGGGTCCAAATAGTCGATTACGGTAGATACCAATCCACGCGTTCACACTAAATTCATGCTGAAAATTTCTTTCCCGAACTGCATGCGGATTTTCATGCGACCAAATATGTTGATTATGAACATTTATCACTCCACGTCTATGAAGCATGACTCATCGTCCACTTTGTGGCCGGATCTCTATCAAACTCACGCAGAATCATACGGGTAAATCTGCGCTGACGAACTTTTATGTTTCTGTTCCATTTGGAGATTTCCAAAACCATTTTCATTTATTTGGCGATGCACTCTTACAAATACTGAGCGAGTTGGATGTCGTCTGTTTGGAAATTTTCGTGCGTACTTTCTGGCAGCTTCTGCTGCGTTTCCATTTAGAAAGCTATACACAAAATGAATATCCGCTAACTCTTGCTTGGAGAATAAAAATGGCATTTTCATAAAACTTACAAAAAAAAAACAGGTAAAAGAAACTAAATTTCGTGCATTCACAATTGCAAAAAAACGTTTCAGGTTTCAACAGACAACAAAACTGACTGTCAACTAACATAATTGACGTTTGACCTTATTCTGCTTTCAATTTCAAAAATATTGCAGGCACAGCCTACCTCTAAAAATTATCGAGATACTGACTTTTTAACGTTATTTTATCATAAATAATTAAAAATGCATCGAACCTTAAAAATCGAAATATCTCAAAAACGGCTAACTATAACGAAAACTCACAGGAGAGCTTTTTTGTGTTGAAAAGTGCGAAGAATCATTATTTTTATTCAAAAAGCAAAAAATTGCACTAAGAAAAAGTTTTCGGTCATTTTAATACACTACAGGTACAATAGAGAGCGCTCTCTAGCGTATACAGTAAAACTATGCCCATGGTTCGTTTTGTCGTACCAAAGAACCCTTGTATACCAATTTTCACTGTTATACATCAAATATTGTTCGAAATATTTAAAAAAAACTATTTTAGAAAGTTTATATTTGTATTTTTGTTTTATTTCGGAAGCCACGCATTTTCCGACCCATGTTTATATAGACTTTATGCATTAATTTTAAAAGTTCCTTCGAATCTTAAAGTTAAGCAACAATAAACTGAAACGCCCTGTATATCCTGACTGTAAAAAAAAACTTTGGAAAGAAAATTAACTAAATAATGTTCTTTCAGTAGTAAATATCTAAGAAATACAAGATACATATAAAGCAGTGTTTTATTTGTGGAATAAGAATTACGTCTATTAACTTTCAAATTCATAATTTGACCGAAAGTTATCGTTCCCCGACCGCAATAAGATTTATTTCTTGAGTTGTTAGAGTCAAATGGAAAAAATAGAAGATATGCGTATCTCAGTTCGAACAAAAAACCTCACCGTTGGTGGTGGTGGAAGAGAACTAGATCGCCGATGCGAAAGGGTTCCGAGACTGTCTGTTAGAGAAGAGTCCTCGATCAGTAGGACAGCCCTTCTCTGGACAACATCGAGCATAAATAATGCAGTCGGGGCGGCAGCACTCCAAACGTGTGAGCAGTAATCGAGGCTAGGCCATGTATAGAGTGAGGAGGTCATTCGGAGGAAAGTACTTCTTAGCCCTAAACCATTGATTCCCAAAGTGGTCTATATCGACCCCCAGGGGTCTATGACAACCTGCAAGGGGTCTACGTCAGCGAAAAAAAATTTGGGGGTCCACTGATAGTACCTATTTACTTACATCATACTATCTTATAATATCAAAACATATACATTATTTATAAAAGTACCTATGAAGTAAAAAATTTATTATATATGTTTATAAAATTGTGAAGTTGTAGGATGTTGGTATTCGCTTTGTGGTCGCAATACATTTTGAACTTGTAAAAACCTGAGAGTCGCAGTCTCAGAGCTTCGCTACCTTGCACTGACTTGTTCAATTCGTCACTCTATAAATACGAATGTGGGACAAATACGTTTATTCGTTTCCTGAATCTTGAAAAGGAAAGTGCTAAGAAAATATTTAAAAAATATAAACAGATAGTATATCACACAAATTATAGTGAGTCAGTGTTATTTTGTTTGAGAGTGCTGAGAAAAGTAAGTACATTTTTTTATTAAATTTTAGTTTTGTACTCGTAGTTAGCAAAGATAGATAAATTACGCCAATCATGACTTTAGTTATTAGTAGTTAAATATTCAATCATGCAAAATTACACGAGTACTCCTCAATAGTTTCTTTTTGAAGTTTTAGCAATCGGTAATATAATTACAGTGCAATCTCCGTAATTCGAGCTAATTGTTGCAAGAAGATGTTCGAATTATGGAATGTTTTCGGAAAAATCAAAAATGTTTTTAATATACAGCTGCTGGATTTTCTGTCTTATTTAAATAATTTAATTTTGCCCACAGATGACTGATGCCATGTCCGAATCTAAAAAGAAATGTAGACAGTACAGTGTTGATTATTTGAAATTTGGCTTCATTCCATCATTGCCGGACAAACAATCGCCTATGTGCCTTTTATGCAACAAAGTTTTGGGCAATGACGCTATGAAACCATCTAAACTGCAAGATCATCTGAGAAGATGCCACCCTGATAAAACAGAGAAAGATTTGAAATACTTTCAAACACTCAAAGATAAATTTCAGAAGAGACCTACACTGGACAGAATGTTCGCTTCGACGTCACAAAGAAATGATGATGGTTTGCGGGCGTCTTACAATATCTCGTTACTTATAGCAAAATCCGGAAAACCGCATACTATCGGAGAGAAGTTAATTTTGCCAGCCGTTGAAGAGGTTTTAAAAACTGTTTTACACAAACCTGCATCTGATATCATTAAAAGAATTCCCTTAAGCAACAACACTGTTGAAAGACGTATTGATGAAATGAGTTCTGATATTGAAAGCTTCTTATGTAATTATTTGCAAACGACCCATTTCTCTATACAACTGGACGAGTCAACTTTACCTGATAATGCAGCATTATTATTGGCATATTCGTTTTATTATGAATCAAGAAATCTACGAAGAACTGCTCTTCGCAAGAACTTTGATAACGACACTAAAGGTGAATCAATATTTCATGTTTTGAAGGATTACTTCATTGAAAAAGCAATTCCTTTTCGAATATAATATCAGTAGCTACAGATGGAGCACCTGCCATGGTTGGACGTTATCGTGGATTTATAAGCTATTTAAAACAAAATGTGTCAGGGGTGTTAGCAATACATTGCGTCATCCATCGACAACATTAGTTGCTAAAAATTTGAGTGTTAGATTGCATGAATACTTCATTTAGTCATTGATGCAGTAAACCGAATCCGAAGCAACGCGTTGAATACGCGGTTATTTGCGCAGTTGTGTGAAGAAAATGACGAACACTTTCATCAATTACTCCTTCACATGAAGTACGCTGGCTGTCGAAAGGCTTATGTTTGACAAGATTTTTTGCACTTTTTGAGACTATTTTAGAATTTCTGGATACTAAAGATAAAATTTTAAAAGAAAATTTAATGAAGAGAAAAACAGACTATTTAACAGATTTGTTTACAAAATTTAATATGGTTAATTTGCAATTACAACGACAGTTTAAATTTGATTAAAACAAAGTCCATCTATCAGCGTTTCTTGTCAGAGTTAAACTAATGAAGCAAAATATTGGACGGGGCGAATTTTCTCAGTTCCCCAATTTGTCACAGACAAGCTGCCAGGAAGACGACGTTTCAACTTACGTTAACATTTAAATGCCCTCTATTCAGATTTTGAATCTAGGTTTGAGGATATTTTGACTATGGTAATACCACCGTGGATAATTAATCCATATGGTGACATAGAGAAACGAATGTCATAATACAAGAGGAACTGACTGAACTAAGTACAAACGAAGAACTTAAGTTCAGTTTAAAAACGGATATCAGCAATTCTGGCTGCAAAACAACATACCCGTTACTTATCCCGTATTATGGAACATAGCGAGGAAATTTTTAATTTCCTTTCCATCGTCATACCTAGTGGAAAGGGGGTTCAGCGCTGTTACCAATCTCCTAACGAAAAAAAGAAACAGACTGGACATCATTACATATTAACCCTTAAAATTGACGCCAAATGTTGATAATTTATTATTAAAGCATCAGGTTCATCCTTCTCACTAAAAATATTGACTTATTGCTTATGTTATTTTATTTATAGTTTATTTTATGTTTATTGGTGTCTGAAAATAAATGCCCGCATTGGGAATAAGTGCCCGCATTGATTTTTTTAAAGAACCGTCTTTATAGAAAATTTTTTTTTAAATTATTCTGAAAATTCAAGGATAGGTACACACTAAAATTCGTAATTTTTTGCCTATTTTTAGATAACTTAAACGTATAAGAAGCGGAATTTAATCAAACTAACAGTGAAATTATTGTAGAACATACGTTTATGTTATAATTAATAAACGAACTCGCTTATTACTATTTTAAGTAAAAAATTTTTTTTATTATTTTTCACTTTTTTTTATTTTATCTCTCTTTTTTTTTTTTCAATGCGGGCACTTATTGGTCAGACACTGTTTATTTAATGTTACGTATATTTTACATAACAGATACAAAATTTTATTTTGAGTAGTTTTAATTTAAATTCAATAATAAATGTATAAATTAACATGTGTTTTACTTTAAGTTTTTAAATTACAGTTATAAATTTACAGGAAATCAATATCAGGTAAGTAGGGGGTCTTCCAACACGGAAAAACATGGCAAGGGGTCTACGACACAAAAAAGTTTGGGGAACTCTGCCCTAAACAAATAGCCTAGCGTTTTCTCAGCAGCTGTTGCTAAACACCTGAAAAATCCCTATGTTGCTCGTGAAAATATAAAACAGCTCCGCTAATGGCTTCTCCCAGGCAGGCAGCACACCGTTCGATTAACATTGATGATGGGCAGTCAGCTCCTGTAGACTCCCACCCGTCTCATCGAACCTCGATGTGTTTAAGATATTCTTATATATATATATAGCCTTCTATATCGGAATCTGTTACTGTTCGACTAAGTTTTCTGGATTACGCGATCGAGTAAAATATGGCATCGGATTTAAGGAAATGAAAAGGTTGTACGATAGTAAAGGTAAGTTCATATTTATTTTTGAATCCCCTTCATACTCGCAAGTCTAAAGGTATTTCTCAAACATGATAAGCTCAAAACCAGATCCAGTCAAGTGTAAATAACGCTGGATTTGACAGCGGACAAGTTTTATTGAAATCTTACAAGAAACAGCAAAATTTAAAGGAAAAACGTTTATCGCAGAGTCGACTGCCGCCCCAAACTCTAACATAGTTGCCTAGTGTCTCTGCTCATTCACCATATCGTCGCACAAATCACTGAACACAAAGTACAAGTATTAACGTCTCATTTTGAACTTGATTGTTATGCTTTTCAAGTGTGTGCTTTGTTCCCGGATGGTCTCCAGTGACCTTATGTAACCCCAATCCTGTACAAGGAGATCATATTTTGGAATAGATTTTTGTCATTTTCGTGCCGTGTGTGTTTTCTGTGCAGAGGTAAGAAATCTGCTTTCCAACAGTTACCTGAAACATAGTATGCTCTTAAATGATACCTAGCCCTTGCGGAGCACGTCAAGAGGCAGTTTGGTGACTAAGAGTCGTGATATTTTAGAGAAAACACATTTAGGTCCATTTCTGAACAAGTCTGTGAATGCTTAGGCCGAATAGCACTTGAGAGTAAGAGGTTTAGGACATATGTTCATATAAACTTTTCTTCCTAAAATGAGCTAAGGTATTTTTAGCTATCAATTAAATTACACTAAACTACTTTTGTTATTACTAATTTTGTTTGACAAAGACTGAGATACACTAATATCTTACCTCCCGACTCCCATATCAAACTATTCAGTTGGAAGTTTCACATACAACCTCGTACCTTGTTGTTCAAACCAGAGAATCACATGCCATTTGTGTCGTAAACCTACAATAAATTATAAAATAGTAAATTAATTGATCCGCACTGTTTTCGTAGCAGGCAATATAAACAAATCGTATTATGAAGAAAACATTGATAGCGTCCTTACATGCTCATCTGGCAGCTGGTCTTTGTTTATACTAATTTACGGGTACCTCGCAAGATCATCAACAGGTTATATTAGAACCAATTTGTCTGTGTACATGCTAGCAAGAATAGCTTTATAGGAACAGACTGTTAGGTAAAGGCTAGGAAGAAAATATACTAAGTGACATATAAATCCAAACACCCAGTTTAAATGATTTTATTTTAATAAAATTTTATATAAGTACTTAATGAAGCATAATAAGTAAAAGATAAAAATTTCAAAATGATTGCACTGCTTTAAAGCCCTTTGACCTTTAATCATGTGTGGATGCACCCTGATGTGCTACGCATTCTCCAACGCGCCTAGGCATGCTTCTGATCAGGTGGTCAATGTCCTCCTGTGGTATATCATTCCAGGCAACCACCAACTCCTCTCGAAGTGCTTCTAGAGTCTGAGGAGGACGTTGCAAATTGAGCAATCTCCTACCCATCATATCCCACACGTGCTCAATTGGGGATAAGTTGGGAGATCTTGGTGGCCATGGTAACAATGTGACATCATTGTGTTGAAAGAAGTCTATTGTGACTCTTGCAACATGTGGTCGGGCATTATCTTGTTGGAAAGTTGGATCTGCCAGGGTGTCAAGATAGGGTAAAAGATGGGGTTCTAGAACTTCGTGGATATAACGCTGCGCGTTCATGTTACCTCTGATGAAGATTAAAGGTGACCTGGAACCATAAGCTATAGCACCCCAAACCATAACTCCAACAGTGTGATGAACATGTCTTTCAACAAAAAACTGCGGATTCCTCACTCGTCACTAAAGACAATACTGTTCCATTCCTGATCCAAGAGTGACCGTTGTCTGCACCACTCAAGGCGGTGTTCTCGAGTTAAAGGGAGGACCCAGTGTGGCCGGAATGAAAGCAAGCCAAAACTTCTCTTGCGTACGGCCTTCTCGAAGCCATGCCTGACAACACCTAACCACAGTGTCTACACTTCTTTGCACTCTAACTGCAATTGCCCGAAAAGAAAGTCCAGCTTCCCGAAGTCCCGCTATACGGCCCCTATCAAACTCACTAAGTTGACGAAATCGTACAGGTCTCCGTACTCTAGGCATCGTAACCGATCGGAAAGGATGTCAAGAACCAAAATCCGCCAACGTTGATTCTTTACTGCGGCTGAAATATTCATTTTTAGAGCGTTAGTGAATTAAAAAAAAGCAGTATAAAAACCGGAATGTCCAACTGATAAGGCTGAAAATTTTTTCACTTGTTATTTACAGTAAGATAAATACATTCACCAACTTTTATTAAAATAAAACCATTTAAACTGGGTGTTCGGATTTATATGGCACTTAGTATATTTAGAAACCGGATGGACGATGTTAATCATAAGGGCATCGGGACGGTGTTAGCCGTACCGTTGAAATGGTAATCATCACGATTCCATAACTCCTTCCTCCTCGGAAATATTGGTCTCAAATCTCAAAAAATGATTTGAACTCTTAATTTTAATGAGAAGTTTCTTAAATATCACTACTTTGAGGTGGAGTTTTAGTACCTTTACATAACGGTATCTAACAAAAAATATAATAAATAAAACCAATAAAATAATTACAGCAGTAAAAATAACAGGGTAACTTATAATAGAATGAAACTGTAAATCTTCAGAATGAACTTGAAGTGAAGTGAGATTTTTTTGGAAATAAGATTCGAGTGAAATGTTTGTTTTCTTAAATGAATATTTATCGTTGTCACCTCTGAAGGATAATTCTAATTCAATTTCATAATTAGAGTCAAATTCTAATGTTTGATCATTAATAAATGTATGACATTCTAAAATAATGTGAGTAGTAAGATGAATATGATGGATTCCTTTACAATCCTTGATTTTTGTTAAAACATTAGAGTCGATTACATAATTGTTCTTACTTAATTCTAGGATTCGCGTGTAGTTTACCAGACTTTCAGACTCACAAGTGTCCAACTTAAGTGGTTGACATGGCGACTGGAAAGTATTCGTGCAAACATACAGCTGATTGCTTATAATAACTATGATATTTTTGCAATAATAATTCTTTTCAAAGTATAAAATACAATCACTTGGTTATTTTACTAATTCTTTCTTGACTGTGATTGAAAATAACTTGAATAAGGAATAAGTTCTAACATCTAAAATGGTATGGATTAAATCGTTGCAAATTTGTAATAATTGAGATCTGATGAATCGTCTGGTGTGATAACAAAGACTGATGTTCAATAGTTTGGACATTATGAATAATAATTGACTGAATTCTTCTAGTATTATTTCAAAAGTTTCTTGAAGAGATTTGCAAAACGTGATAGTTTTCTGATGACTTTCAAGCAAGCTATTCTGGTTACTTCGTAAAACGTTCTGATTTTTCAAAATAAGATCTAAATCGTTTTGATCAAGGTTGCCAGAAATAAAACGAATTATACAGGGTGACTTCGAAGTTGAGTCATTTATTTTAACAGTGAGTAGATCTGATCAAAAGAAATGTTTTTTTCCTTTACCATTTTTCTGGTAAAATTAAAGTAACAAAGTTATAGCCCTTTGGAAGTTTGAGTACAGCCCTGTCTCAATAATAATATTATGTGCTCGTTTGGCAACAACGGATATAATCCGTCTTATCGGTTCATCGCATCGGAAACAAAAAAGCGAAAGAATTTGGAACGATGTTTTTACAATTATTTTATTCAGTTGTATACAGTCAGTGTCAGTCGGTAACGCGTGAGTGAATAGTGGTGTCTGTTGCGTGGCTCAAACGAAATCAAAAATGGCACATGTTTACGAAAATGCTGAACTTGTGGATATGATTCTTATTTACGCGGCATCACGGATTTATTGCGGATCGGTTTCCCAATCGAGTGCAACCAACCCCTCGTGCCTTTGTTAATGTAGTACAAAGGGCTCGTGAATCAGGTGACTTAAGACCTCACAGGGGATGCCGGTGCTCCAAGACCGCACGATCAAATACAGGTCCGCACTGAAATACTTGTCGGGAGGATACTTTATAAAACAAGGTAACATTTTTTTTTTTTTACACGCATATTTTGATTTATCTTCCTTCTACAATCATTATCTGAAAATTAATGACTCAACTTCAAAGTCACCTTGTAGAATCTAGACCGTTTATAAGTCCGCGTTTGATTCTATGCTGTGTTAGAGTTTCGAACTTGGAATAGGTGTCTTCGTATACATTTTGAGTCTGATTATCTAAGCTGGTGAGAATTTTATTATGTAATTCAATTAGGTCAGAAAACATTTGCATGGTATGTAAAATATCAGTGAGGTTAATGGACAAATATACTTTGTGATAGTGATGAATATTTCTTGCATTGCCTAAACGTATGTGTTGTATGGGTTGCAAATAATGTTCCGAGGCTATGTGGACAGCTATGGTGGTCGTCACACATCTGAAACAATGCGAGATGGTTTAATCTTTTTAATCATATGTTTCCGATCTTTTATCTGAATTTGGGTTCCATTTTGTTTGTAGGTTTCGTGCTTTTGATATTTGGGTAAATTCTTTGAATCTAGTGGTTCAAATAGCAGAAATATGTTCAATAGTTTGTTCTGTAAATTCGGCAGATTCACCTTGTTAAAGCATGTCCTTATAGGAAATAGGTAAAGCGTTATAAAATTCTGTAGACTTTCTTAAAAATGTATAAAGATTGTTTGAATAGCCATCAAATTTTAGGAATTGAATTTTTTAGCATGTTAAAAATTAATTGAGGATTGTCGTGCTGAACGACATTCTGTTGATTCGAGGTAGCCATTCTCAAAGGAGATCTTTCTTTTTCGTTAGGTACAAAACGATTAACAAGAGGCATAAAATAAAATGTATAAAAGATGCAAGATAAAAATGAGTAAAAAATAGGTGAAAACAAAACTTAAAACTATGCACAAAATTAGATTTCAATTGAAAAACGCAAACTTGGATTCTTCAGTAAACATCATCTTTGTAGAAATGTGATTTTTGATAAATTCTTCTTATGGTTACGTATTAAATCTTCCTAGTTGCAAAATCTTAATAGTAATTTTTAACTACTTACAAGGACAGTAACATCAATTGTTGCTTCATCCAGGGGCTGGTCATCTTGTCTTCGATTCCAAATCAATAGTTCTGGACAGTTTCTGGTAGAATTCCCAGTAAGAGAATAGAAATTCTTACTTGATATTGGCACTCGGAGAGTCCAAGTAGAACAGGAGAGCCTTGCCGACGTCTGATACTAACTCTTGACTTTCGCTGGTACTAACTTCAGTTTTCTCAGGAACTCACTCTTTGGCTTTCTCGGATACACCGCTGGGCAGCTCGTCTATTAGATATTTCTGAAAATGATGACAGAAACCAAGCCTGGGATCCTGTTAATTATATTTCATATTCAGTTTATAAGAAATAAAACATAGCAAAATGCAAAGTCTGTAATGTTCTCACGAAGATAACACCGAAAGCTGTAACTAGAAACCGGATGGACGACGTTAATCAAAAGAGCATCGGGACGGTGTTAGCCGTACCGTTGTAATGGTAATCATCAGGATTCCATAACTTGTACGATATCTCATACGGTGTTGTATTCCGCCTGTTACTATTGTACTATTGGAAAAATATGTACAGGGTACTATAAGAGTTTTACAATGTGACTTAACAAACGGACGCAGGTGAGATAAGTGCAGTTTTACGGTATAACTTTACGCGTGGTTTAAGCATAGACCAGAGCTCAGAAGAAATGACGCTTGCATTAGAGAATGCTTGTCGAAGACCGACAAGTGACATACCAACAGATAGAGAAGACCTTACAGGTTCATGCATCAGCAATTCATTTAATTCTGCCTGAACATTTACACTTAAGGAAACTTTGTTCTCTCTGGGTACCTCATAGTCTGACGTCGTACGAGTTGGTGCCGAAAGATGCCGAAAATGTTTGATAAAGGGCAATCTCGGTATGTAAACTGCATCGTGACAGGTGACGACTTGGCTCTATTATTAAGATGTGTCGACCAAGGCTCAAAACAAAGTGGTACACGGAACGGTACGTGCCTAATGTCATACAGTCTATGAGAAACCTGGCAGAGCTGGTTTAAGGACTGGTTTTGACGGATGGATAAATGTATTGAATGTGGTGGAAATTACTTTGAACGAGGTTAATAAATAAAGCTGTACTGCAAAGCTTTAATAGTACCCTTTATTGCCATTGATTGATCCTACCTGAAGATAACCGTCCTAATCATATACCTCCGCCTCCAAAAAACTATCCCAGACAGCGTCATCTACAAGTATGTGTCACAGCTGTCTATTTACTGCACAGGCTGTTAATTAAGTATGCACCACAAATTTAACAAACGATTCTTTGAGTGATTTTAAAACAAAAAGATTCATATAAACATCGATCCGCAAATTCTTCGTTCTCAAGATACGTGGTGGTGAAATTAAAAAGAAAAATGTATCATAAAAGAAGTGTATTGAGCGGAACGAGATACAATACACAATGGTAGTCGCGTCGTATTTCACACCACACTACATTACTCATCAAAAGAAAATACGATATACAGACATCTACCGCTAAATGGATCATTTTCAACGGCATCTTTCAACATTTCCGGTCAAGCAAAGGGGATGAAAACGTTGTATCGATAGACCGAGTGTTTCACCATTGGAATTTTTGAAGCTCTGAGAGACACTGAGGTGTTTGATTTGGGGCAACGTTGCACATCCAGGTAACTATGAAAATTGCACTGTTGCTAAGTTTCGCTATAGAAAGTATTTCTTCAGATAGACGAATTTTTCCAAAATCGTTACCTTTACCTGACATTATTTCAGATGGGATTTCAAAATATTGCCGATAGGGTCGAAAGACGTTTATTGCAGGAAGTAGGGGAGACTAGAGTTGTCACATTTTCAGTAATTCTTTTTTTTATTCGATCTGAAGCGTTATATGCACATATACTAAGTGACATATAAATCCGAACACCCAGTTTAAATGGTTTTATTTTAATAAAAGTTGGTGAATGTATTTATCTTACTGTAAATAACAAGTGAAAAAATGTTCAGCCTTATTTATACTGCTTTTTTTTAATTCACTAACGCTCTAAAAATGAATATTTCAGCCGCAGTAAAGAATCAACGTTGGCGGATTTTGGTTCTTGACATCCTTTACGATCGGTTACGATGCCTAGAGTACGGAGACCTGTACGATTTCGTCAACTTAGTGAGTTTGATAGGGGCCGTATAGTGGGACTTCGGGAAGCTGGACTTTCTTTTCGGGCAATTGCAGTTAGAGTGCAAAGAAGTGTAGACACTGTGGTTAGGTGTTGTCAGGCATGGCTTCGAGAAGGCCGTACGCAAAGAGCAAGGGGCACTGGACGCCGCCGTAGAACAACGGACCGTGTGAAGATCGCCGCCTAAGATTATTGGCCTTAAGGGACCGTTTCTCCACTTCCAGGTCCATTGCAAATGAATGGTTTGCAGAACACGGAAGACCTATTGGCATGCGAAGTGTTTACCGACGAATGAGAAGTTTTGGCTTGTTTTTATACCGGCCACACTGGGTCCTCCCTTTAACTCGAGAACACCGACGTAATCGCCTTGAGTGGTGCAGACAACGGTCACTCTGGGATCAGGAATGGAAATGGAACACTATTATCTTTAGTGACGAGTCTCGATTTTGTTTAGGCATGCACGATGGTCGTGCCAGGGTTAGAAGGCGACGTGGTGAAAGGAGGAATCCACAGTTTTTTGTTGAAAGACATGTTCATCACACTATTGGAGTTATGGTTTGGGGTGCTATAGCTTGTGGTTCCAGGTCACCTTTATCTTCATCAGAGGTAACATGAACGCGCAGAGTTATATCCACGAAGTTCTAGAACCCCATCTTTTACCCTATCTTGACACCCTGGCAGATCCAACTTTCCAACAAGATAATGCCCGACCACATGTTGCAAGAGTCACAATAGACTTCTTTCAACATAATGATGTCACATTGTTACCATGGCCACCAAGATATCCCGACTTATCCCCAATTGAGCACGTGTGGGATATGATGGGTAGGAGATTGCTCAATTTGCAACGTCCTCTCAGACTCTAGAAGCACTTCGAGAGGAGTTGGTGGTTGCCTGGAATGAGATACCACAGGAGGACATTGACCACCTGATCAGAAGCATGCCTAGGCTTACTTATTATGCTTCATTAAGTACTTATACAAAATTTTATTAAAATACTATAATCCATTTAAACTGGGTGTTCTGATTTATAAGTCACTTAGTATATACCTATTAGCTGTGCCAGACGAGTTATTTGTGTTGCTCTTCCTGAAGAGATCACAGTTGTACATTACGATTTTGCCCATTTCTTTGTGTTTTCAAAAACTTTGGCAAGCATTACCGGAAAATACGAATGACACATCACATACAAAAATCGTGTCCGTACTGCCTCACATCTAGGCGCTGATTTGAATTTTCTACTTGACATCGTAAAATAAATTTCTATAAAATTTAAATGACGAAAGATACAAATTATTGTGACATGTAATAACTTTTTTACGTTTTCTTTTCTTATCGCTCCCTTTTTCTAAATTCAGCGAATTTGCATATGCAATTTCCAGGTTGAATAAGAGAAGGCGGATGCGCAGCTAAGTTTTATTTTTGCATACATCTCAAGTAAGAGTATTTGAGACAAAAACCGATGGAATTATTATCAACACACATTATTATCAAATAAATCCTCTCTTTACACCTTTGCGCTGCCGTTTCCTTCCAACTATACTTACACCTTACCGGCTAGACCCCAAAAATGCCAGTTTAGGCAACACGTACAGCTACGGAACGAGTACACATCAAGTGTACAACAGCTAGTGCTAAGTTGACGTTTTGTAGGGAAACATATATTATGTCACAAAAAACCTATATAATGTCGAAAAAACCGACATAATGTAGCTTTTCAAGATATGTATGTTGTATCACTGGCGCATAGTGGTTCTGAAGGCACCATTTCCGCGAAAATAGTAACCAAGTACAAATATCATACTTCTCTTTACTTTTTCTGCTAAAATATTCTTTTAAGCTCAAAACTACCTGCTTGCAACATTTTCTTTTGTCTTAAACTATTTCAGCTCTCATTTATTGAACATAAAAAAAAAAAATATTTCATCATCAGTTGTCATCATAAATTGTGTTAAAATTTAGGCGTCTCCTATGACGTAACTGTAATCACAGAAGACTATGACCGATTAAGTTCAATATAGTTGACGTTTGGAAAAACAACTGATTTTGAAAAGAATATTGACACTCGCTTTTCGCTGTCGTGGTATCTTTTATAGTAAGTCAGTGTAATGTTTCCAGAAGTTTGACACTAATGGGTTCCGATAACAAAGTGAAGGCATTTCCATGTTTTAAAAACAAGTTTAAAATGTGCGTTTGAGTCACCTCAACGCATAAAAAAAACTAACTTATTTAACGAGTGGTATTTGAACAGAACTAAAAACAGTTCAACTGTTAAAAACAATTAAATTATATTATTTTCTCCACAAAAACAATAATGTACAGCTATATTTCTAAATTTGGTTCACATCTTTATTAAAGGAAAAAAACTGGTCATTTTGTTTTTGTAAAGTTCTGAGCATTTTGATTTAGAGTCCCC